CTTTAAGACGTCCGTGTGGATCACCTTACTGTGACCGGTCACTGATCGGGCTGTCCAACCGGTTGTTTGAGACGGGTTTGGGACGTCCGGCTGTAGACGCTCTAATGGCCGGTCACAAACTTTTTGCTCTTAAATGTACCTACTACGTGGTGTCTAGGAGCTTTGCTACAACCACGTAAAATAGCTATGGGGATTTACCGTATGGGATTAGTTGCCATTGTCTTATTAGCTGGAGGAGGGAGGGAGGGGCACCCTGGAGGGAGAGGTTGATGAGAGGAAGACACGTATTCACTTAGATAATTTTCGTAACTTGCTTTATTACGTGGTAGGACTTTCGGGCGTCTATAGCCCAATTGAGCTACACGCCGACACTGGCTACAATATATATACACGTACGTGTACGTGGTACGACCTGCATGCATGCATACATGCATGGCGGCTTTCCTTCAGGCGGTCGTTTTGGCGCCAAAAGCATTAACTATGCATGCCGCCGCCGGCCTCGTATGAAGAGAACCGAACAAAGTAATGAGTTTCATGGAAAGTGGAGTTTTGTGCTCGGGCTAAAATGATTGAGCTTGGTGAACAGTAAAATTAAAAAAATATTGAAAAAAAATCAATAAATTTGAATTTTCTTAGGTGAAAATTTTGACATTACGCTCACAAAATTTCATCTTGAAATCACATTCTTGGAAGTTGTGGGAAAAAACAAATTTGATGCTCCAAAAGTGCAATTTTTTAAAGCATTTTGGAGTGCTGATTTTTTTTTGCCACGAATGCCTTTTCAAGATGAAATTTTGTGGTCGCATAAAACATTTGTCAATGTTTGCACCAAAAAAAAAACATTCAAATTTTTTTGAATGCTTTTTCACTTTTTTCTTCTGATTTTACTATCATCCCGAACTCAAATGAGCTTGGGAGCAGAAGATGACCTTTGGCTTCATGCTTCGTCGATCGATGATCGTAGAATATCTCTACCCTCTAAAACTTGAGGAGTCCCGTGTCCACAACTCTGATGGTAGTATATAAAATCGGGATTGCTAAATCTCAGTCGACTAAGTCTTTTTGTCAAGTGACATAACATATTAAAATGCAAGTCTCGGTCGATTGAGATCCAGCCACACTCTATATAAAGTTACAAATACGAAGGCATGAACGAGTGTCCGTTTTTGTTGTGCCAGTGGCTGGGTTTCGTGTGGTTCCACTCCGGCGACTCCTGGGGAGTCATTGCAGGTTGGCTTTGAGCTGGGTGAAGGGGACGGAAGGATGTTGGATGCCGGGGTGGCGGCCTTGAAAGGTGGACTGCATGGTCGGTTCTCGGGCGAGCGGGGTTGCGGGGTGGTCGCGTTTCTCCTTGGTTGTATGGTGGTCGAGAGCGAGGTGGTTGGGGATCCTGGCGGCGGTGGCGCTTTTGCAATGGTGTCTCGTGCGGATGCCTGTTTTGGTGGCGGCGTACTTTGTGACCGTGGTACCTCGGTGTGGCGCATGTACGACTTCGGCTAAAAGCTCCGTGCTCCGGTGGCGGAGATGCATGTGGGTGTTATATCTCTCTTAGGAGAGTCATTGTGGCCCCTCTCCCCATGTCAGGGCTCCCGGAGAAAACCCTAGATCATGACAATGATCTTGGCGGCGACGACATGTTGCGTTGTACACTCTTGGGGATGTTGTCGTGGAGCTCAGATACCTTTCGGCTGCATCTCATCGACACCGACGGGTGAACTCGGACCCCAACTCAAAGCTCCTTCGGCTCTGGCAAGGGAAGTCCCGGTGGCATCCTCTCTCTTACAAGCAATGTCGTAGTTATCGCTCTCGGTCCCCATCGTATGCAGGCAGGATCGGCTCTCCATGGCCCGAAGCGACAGGGCGGGAGGTCCTTTCTGACGAGTGTTTGGTGTGAGCATTGCATCGATGTCCGGTGTTTTCTCATGGAAGCACGGTTATCTTCTGGCTAGTGGCCTTGGGTGCTTCTTGGTGGGGCGTGGGTACTCCTCTACTCTTGTTTTATCTTTGATATGCTTTATATATGTAACGGAATCCAAGCTTGTTCAGTTAATACGTAGACGTGACTGCAGCCCAACGCTAAGTCCGCCCATGTCTACTCGGGCCACATCTAAACAAACGAAGACACTTTCACTAAAAGAAACTAACGGAGTCACAGAGACACAAGAAGTATTGCTAGCGAGGTCACGAACAATCTGTAAAATGTTATTAGGCACAAACTCATGAAGCGACCAATGTTGAGAAAATCGTTAATTGATAGCTGACCGGTTGGCTGGCGCATAGGGGATTAATTAGTATAGGCTAATCAACCAATTAATCAATTAATTGGCGGTTCTATCGACTTATCGGCTACCCGTTGACACTCAAGCTGGGATTAACCATATGTTATGTGTTTCCGAAAAGAAGTTCGCACACGTTGCATTGTTGCTTAGGGTTACCTCCATACTGATAAAATCCTAGATTTTTGTTTTGACGAAAAAGCAGTTGGGTGCTGATTTCATTGATGAAGAAGGCAATGTTCAAACAGCTACGAAATGATGTTTGGCGACGGGGACCAAAACCTATGTACAAGTGGAGTGCCACCTTCATGCAAAAACAAGCTTGGAAGAAGGGTGCACATGCAGGCACGTTTGTACACTGAATCATCCGTATGTGTGAACCCAAATGATGCATCTTATAATATCATGGATGGATGGACCGAAAACACGATGGGGGAAACTATCATGTCTGCTGTCAATTCCCTCAAAATTAACTTGCCGCGCTCAAGTCCTAGATAGATACGCAGGCTCGGGCTGATTAGTCTCGGGTGAGCCAAGCAAATTAAGTATAGGTACACACGTACGTACGTGTGACCGAAAAACGAAGAAGAGTAATCTCAGGACAGGGAGAGCCCGACGAGCTACAACAGGCAAATTTGACAATTTTAACCTGTGGACGAAATCAATTCACAGAATAAACTGGGTGTGAAACTATTTCACACCCTGACATTTTTGTGTAGCGCCCGCGACACCGGCGCTACACCCTACGGTGCAGCGCCTAGCTAGCGGGCGTTGCACGCCAGTCCACCGTGGCAGCCCTGGGTCCTGCACCCAGCTGTGCAACGCCTCGGTGCTAGGCGCCCCACATTGTGCAGCGCCTAGCCGTCGGCAACTTTCATTATTACCCGCACTTTGAATAAGTGAATCTATAAAAAAAGAAAAACTTCCAGGTTACGACAAGTGACGCACATGCAGTGCGACACTTGTCGCAACCTTGAAAAGTTAGAGTGATCTTCGCAAGGAGTTTCCCAGAACCTATCCCACACCTTACTGGGCCGGCTCGTTAGTGAAAGTGCTAGAGGTGAGGCGGTGTTCTATCTCGCGCTAGGCGAGATATAGCTCACGATGGTTTTTCGCTTCGGCCTGTAGCAAGTGTCCGGGATGGGTTTCATGGAAACGGCCCCGAACTGCCGCGGCAACCACCACAGAGGAGCCCAAAGCCAGCCCAAACGCAAGGAGCTGGACGCCGGCCGCCGGCCGCCGGCCGCCGAGAGCGCTGCTTTCTCCCCCGCTGCCGACTGCCACAATACGAGAGCCAAGGCGGCTCCTTCGAATCTCCTGCGGCCACACCGGCTGCTGCCGGAGCGCAGTCCGCCGCGCTGTTCCTCCCTGACTGGCCGTGTGGGGAACGGCGCCCGTCTGCGGTCGGCGACGGCGCCATGTACAACCACGGTCCTGCTGCTGCTGCATGAATGACACTGTGAGCTCTTGAGGAACTGGAGCTTGCATCTCATCTACAGGTGCGCTTGGATTTGATTGAATTTTACCCCTCTTTCTGTCAGATTCCAGACAGGGGAATGATACAATTGCAACAGTTGCAGACGCCATTTTACAGAGTGGTGAAACTTCTCATGCAACTTGAACGGTAAAATATTTACAGCTTACTGTAACATGTTTGCAGGTGAAGATTTTAGCTAGTGATCATCAGATATGTGGCAGTAGTTTTCACATCTTTGGCTACTGATCACATCTCACTAGTGAACAAAATCGTGGTTGGCCATCGCAATCGTGTGTTAAGGATGGTAGGTAGAACACATTTCAGGCCACCAAAAAGTATATATATATATGCCATGGATATTCCAAATTTGACATGTTAGTATGTTGCTATCTGCTACACAATTCATTAATGTCTGTCCATGAGCGTCGACCTGTTAATTAGCCTGACGGCGGCTCCCATGTCCCGACCGCATCATCATCAGCATAGTACAAACAACAGCCTGAGGAATAACAAAGCCTTGGCCACCCAAGAAACAAACCAACCACCTTGGAAGTAACACCCGCCCGGTTGCTCGCTTCTTCGAACTTGAAAAAAATCGCCCGGCCTCCGAGCAAGAACACAAGAACAACACGGTCGGTTTCCTCGGCACGACACACCAGGTCAGCAGCGCACACACATTTCTTTTCCGGTTCCGGTTTCGGGTCCTCTCTATCATTTAAAATTCTCAACGAAACGGGAAATAACATACTGCTAAACAATGGCGTGCCGTCTCTTAATCACTTGCTTTCTTTTTTGGGTGAGAATAATCAGTTGCTTTCCTTGGCATGCCATTGTTTAGAAGTAGTTCAATGCTGCAATCTTATCCTATTGGATTTGCCAAACGTGCACGGTCTTCTTCGTACTCCCTCCGTCCCAAAATTCTTGTCTTAGATTTGTCTAGATACGGATGCATCTAACACTAAAACGCAACTAGATACATCCGTATTTAGACAAATCTAAGACAAGAATTTTGGGACGGAGGGAGTACTAAATACAGGATATATTGCTGCTGCGAGGAATAGACAAGGTGAAGCAGATCTAGTATATATATGTAGTATGACAATGCTAACAAGTAACAACCACCCCTCACCTCTTCCCCCCAACAACTCCAGCTCTATATCTCTATCTCTCTAGCCAATAATTGATTGTTCGGTTGGTTGGTGTTATCCTTTTCTGTCCCTCTTCTCCTCTTTCTCTATAGCTTTCAGATGGGGGGCACCTTTACAGCAGCCGCGGCGGCGGCGGCGGCACTGGTTCTAGTCATGGCTGGCTTCTTGGGAGCTGCAAATGCCAATGTAAGATTCCAGCAAGAACTGTGATGAAATTAATCTACCCCTCATCAGGTCACCATGATTCTCTGCTAAAATTGAGCTTTGGATTGGATTTGAATTCAGGTGGGCGACAAGTGCTCGACGAGTGCGGACTGCGGGGCGGGGCAGTGGTGCTTCGACTGCGAGCCGGAGCTCGCCGGCTCCCACTGCGTCCGCTCCGCCGCCACCAACCCCTTCCAACTTGTTGTAAGAGCTTGCTTAATTCTTCCAGTTGTTTGTCTCTTCTTTTTTTTTCCTGTGTCAGGGAAGGAACAAGAACAAATTTTGAGTTCCTGTATTCCTCTTTCCACAAATTCTTGGTTGACAAGATCTGGTTCCGAAACAAACAGAATGCGGTTAATGAGATGGGCAGATTGTAGTTCACCTGACAGCAAAGATTCTCTTGTTCAGTCCATTCTGACAAAACAATGGATTTTATTAGGATACTTCCATAATTATATTTATTATGTAACCCTGACAGCTGTATATTGGCATCACATTCTCAACATGCATAGAGATCTCAGTAAGATGTGACAGGGCTTTATGGCCTAATTTTCTCTCAAAATCCAGTAAGTTTAATACTACTCCGTCCCATAATCTAAGACGTTTTTTGACACTACATTA